CAACTATCACGAAACGTGGGTCGAAGCACGGCTTCCTGCCGACTGCCTCCAACTATCTAATATCTGCGAATTGTTTTCATAAACTTTTGAATAAGACTTTACTTATGATGTGTCACTTCTCTAAGACTGAACGTCTTCACTAATAAGACAATCGATATCTTAGAAAATTTTCGTAATTTCATCTTCGATCTATTTGACAAAACAAAACTACATACCGAATATTAGATGATAAGCTAACGGTCCTTAAAAGTTGTGTTTAACCTCTTCAAAGGTATAACATCTAAGTGTCATATATATTCATTCATTGAATAATGCTTATTTATGAAAATTTTAACTATTTGATAGTGTGAATAAAATTACCTTTACATAAAGATTCATACATCCATAATATGCCTTTACTCTTATTGGAAACCAATTTATGATAATGTTAACAGAGTGCTACTTAACAATACTATTGTGATGGTGAATTTTATTACAAAACTGTGTTTATATTTTGTAGTCTTTTGCTTACACTAAAAAAATACTAATATAATTTGGTGATGAAATAATGGCGTATGTTTTAATTTTAGCGTTACTTCTCTTTTCAAATAACCTTTCATTATTACTATTTTAAAGTAATATTAAATGAATGGCAGTCGTGTTTTTCAACACTGATTCTAGAAACTAATCGAAACTTCCGCTGTTTTGAAGGGTTCTTGTTTTGCCAATTCTAACCGCTGCTTTATAACCATGATGCGAAATTCGCTAGCAATTTAGTAATCAGTAATTAATTATTAACCAAGTCAATAATAATGAATGTTTTCTCATACTAATATTATTTTTGCACTGAGTCAGTAGACAATGATTTACAACCCCACCCCCACCCCCTTTTACATGCAGAGTCCAAGTACCATCTATCCACCACCTATGGATTGGATACGAAGAAGACGAAGTTTAAGCGGAACACCATTTAGAACTACATGTTATCCAATGGTATACTATTCTTCTACGCCATTACCCAGAAGATCTTTGTGCATTCCACACCGTCGTTATTCAGTATCATCGCAAAGAAATACTTATATTGAACCAAATAAAGTTACACTGGTTGGTAAATCTATGTACAACAATTCACGCCCGTATTCTGTGTATAACAGTACAGCAAGTAGTGCATATCAAACTCCAGAATCAGTCAATTACTATCAACCACATTATAGTTCACTATACCCTCATCTGAAACCAATAGTCTGGTATAACTATGATTACAATGGGTCAATAAATGATGAAATTCTGCCAACATCACATTTACATGCTAGTGCACCTCCGAAACAGCATATTCTAACTCCGGTATTTTAGTATTTTTATGTTTTAAGTATATATTTTTTTTAAACCTTAAAATATCTTCTTACCTTAACAATATATTTGCACGTGTGATAGTATTCAGAATACCCAATTTGGGTTCTAAAGCAGTTAAGTATTGAATACGCTTTACGTTAAATGGATTATGATCAAGCAGAGCTCTAGAAACAGTTACACCTGAAACGTTTGCTAGCATAAACAATTAAAATTTCCCTGTGATATCTATTTAAATATGACGTATTTGTTCACAATAAAGTTTTTGAAATGGGAGGTATGTTATCCCAAGATTTACTCACGTCAACGTGAAGAGAAGGCAATGAAAAATCTAAATAAGCTAGAATCTAAAATGCAACAAAATATTCGACATAATAGAGAGGTGATAGTGAAAATATGCAGCCATGAATTTCCTTCTGATGAAGAGGTGCTGCAGTTTCCTAATCAAGAGTAGTTAAAATGATTACCAAAAGACAATATCATTATGCTGTCGCAAAACCAATATGAGTAAAGCCAAATTTAGTTACTCTAGATTTTTCCACAGTTAGTTAGAAAGCAAAAAGGGTTACAGTGGCACTCATTTGAAAGCCCACTCGATACAGCAAGAAAAATATAACATTTCTGTATCATAAAAGCAGTTTAAGTCATCAAGCAGTTAAACTGGTGCTCTTAACTAGGCATTTTATGTTATCGTATAATAATTGAAGTTGTTATTGGCAAAAAAAGCTTTCGAATATTACAGAGTATAAGTTGGAAAATCTTCACGTATACTAATACGCTTTGACCTTAGCGTATGATCTTGCAAATATGTTCGCTTAACATGATCTGTATGTGTTTTGGTGATCCTGAATACCTTAACTATATTCACCTCTATGTTACTTGGATAACTGATCGTCGTTTGTGTAACTGTCATCTGTTATTTTGGTAAAAAAACCTTTTTCAATCAAGTATGACAGTATTCACAGTGATGAGTGACATTCCAAAGAATTCATATACAATAAGAAATTTGAATGACTACAGCTTTCATTGACATATAACTTCCTTTTATTTTAATCATATTCATCTCGCCAAACCTGAATCGGAGAAGAAAGCTCAAGCTTTTCTGAGGTCTCGTTCACTTTACAATCTAAGTGATCTAAGTGATTATGTGAGTTGAACAAACAAAATGCTTCTTTTTTTAGTTTACGAAAATTCTCATTTTCTTCTTCAGTCGATAAAGTACTTCTTCATTATCCATTCTTACGAAAAAATTTATTCCATTAGGATGACTGATTCTATTGTATGTTGAAGGTTTTGAGTGTTTTTATACGCATGACAAGTGATATTATCATTCTTTAGGTTTGAATTCCTTCCATCTTTTCTATTTTGCTTTGCATCAATCAGTTGAGTGCAGTCAGAAAGGGATTAGACCGATTTATTTTACAGCTTCGCTTATAACCCTTCTTTTTCATTCATCTTGTCTTGGTGAAATCTGTGTGACTTCTACTCAAAGTAAAAATTTCATTTTAGATCAACAAAGTGTGCACAGGCTGTAAATCCGAAGTCATTGTGTTGTCAACAATTTGTCTCCTCTGTGTATCCATGAGCAAACCTAAATATGTTTATGTGTGTGTGTGTGCATATAATACAATTTTCGCTTATCATGATACCAAAAATAAATCATTTTGAAGGTTGATTAATTTTGTTTTCATTTATTTTGTGTTTATTTTTTGTTTCTATTGCTTTATTTGCTTACCCCAGCTTAGTTTGATTTGTTTCATTTCAACAGATATACACTTATTTTATTATGATTCTAACAATAAAGTACTAGAATTTTGAAGAAGTAGTGTTATGAGGAGCTTTACGCTGGTAACAGAATGCTCTGCTTCTATGGCTGTTTTCTTTTCATAAGTTTGTAAATTTTTCAGAAATACACTTTAAAGCCTTATCTGCTGCTTACGAATGAAGTCCCTTATGATAGGTTTGCAGTGAAACGTGGTGTTCTTAACCAGAGATCAATACGACCATTTGCTTTATTTGTACAAAAGTAATTCCTGGAGTATAAGACTAGTTTGAGACTGAAACTGACTAATGAAATGCAGTCATGGAAGTTTTCTCTATCGTAGTTCTTTCAAACTGCACACAAAATTAACTGTCATAATAATACTCATGTTCATAAAAAAGAGGTCATAATGTATTTGTCATTACCTAGAACGTAAGCACTTAAAGAAGAAGAAGCCTGAATGCAGAAGTAAATAAGGGATTTGATCGCAAAAACTAAATTTTCTCGTTTTTAAAATCTCCAAGATTACCTGATATGAAATCCAGGAAATCTTGTCGACTGACAGTAAACATATTTTCTTCGGTCATAATTTTAAAGCAGTTTAGAAGATATTTACAGTTCTTCAATTGCTGTAATAACTTCCGTGTTCCATACACTAAATGTAAAACAGCATAGATAAACATAAAAATTCAATCATCTTTCGTACAAAGAGAGTTAAGACTGGCATTTTAAAATATCAGACGAAATTTAGTGTTATAAAGTATGTCTCAGATCAAATCCACTTAACACGGATATGTTAATTTATAGTTTGAAATCGTTGGATTACTTAAGACGCCTTGACAATACCCCCTTAAACTAATTTAGGCAATGTCTAGATCACAATCTAACTTCTTACTAAATACCTGAAAAAGTTTTTAAATGGTATCGCCACATTATTATATTCAGCACTTATGGACTTCTGTACTTGTTGCAATGCATCACTTATATTTTAATTGGTGGATGGTGACTAGCAGTGGAATCCAGGATGCGCATTTCGTCCTATTTGGGACTCGTCACTGGATGTACTTGCATTTCTCAGTGAGTGATGATGTTCCCACCGAGGCTCGAACCCAGTGCCCATAGTTTCCAACGCCAAAGCGTTATCCACTAGACCACTTAGGCCACGAGAGCCACCTCTTGTGCAACGGGTCATATTGATTTAATTGAATTTTAGATTTTTCCCGTCGATTGATTGGACCGAAGTGCTCGGTCTCAGGTTGACATGTCGGCTTCTTGAGCAGATGCTTCGACGATGTCTGGGCATTTAATTAGTATTTAATTGGTGGATGGTGACTACTAATTAAATGCCCAGACATCGTCGAAGCATCTGCTCAAGAAGCCGACATGTCAACCTGAGACCGAGCACTTCGATCCAATCAATTGACGGGAAAAATCTAAAATTCAATTAAAGGAATACGTTTTGCCTAAAAACTAATAATGAAGCGTATAAGCGGGATACTTGTTTACAGTGATGTTCTTTCTAAAGCTTGGCATATTTTTGCTTCACACCAATAATTTTTCATTTTACACTCATGACTACTCATAGAATGTTTGAAGCATGATAAATTTTATAAAGTGTTTAGTTTTTAAAAACTAAAATTAATACTGAAACACTTATTCATTGATAATGCTTTTTGAGTGTAAAAAGGTTTTATGTTTTTTTTACAAAGTAATTCATTTCAGTGAATGTAATTCTGTTGATTTGATACGCGATAAAGATAACCAGAAACATAAATTTTTCATTTTAATTTCAATTTGACCGAATTTAAAAATTTCACACATATAGTTTTCTAAATAGTTTTACAATCTCAGTTACTTTTCAAAAGTTACACATTTATATAAATCTACTTGTCCTTATTCTTTCTTATAGGAGGATAGTATACCTCGTGTCATTCATACATCATACAGTCGTAATTTTCCAATGCATACAAGTCGTTTGGGTTCAGTGCCACCATCATCAGTTGGCACGTATCGTTCAACGATTACATCTTCAGACTATGGCCTACCACCGGTTGTTCATAGAAGTTATAATCGAACAAGTCGTTATGTTTATGAAACGCCGTATTATACAACAACATATGTAAGTATTTGCATACTTCATTATTCCTAAGAAAGATTCAATAGGGAATTTTATTTTTCTTTGGTAATATTTGATTATAATGGTTATTTTTTGTCATAACATGTCTCAATTTCTATCTCCATTTGCCTTATTGATTGTTTCATAGAGATTTTATTAAGCTATAGATTATTTAAAAGCTTTTCCACAGTGGTTAGTTTTAGAGTCTCATGGGTATGCTTTACTTTCCCTTCCATTAACTAACTATGCATACAGGCACTCTTTGCTTAAAACCTAAAATTCTACGGTTTTATATATTATAAAACATGACTACTTGAGAACAGAGTGTTGAATTATATGGATATATCTGGAGTAATACTAGTTCTTTTCTTATAAAACGGAAATGCCTACATAACTTGTTGGAACCCGATGACTAATTGAAGTCTACTCACGATCCTTCACAGGATGAAACTGCTTGACAGTAAGCAATATCTGAATATGTGACAAAATAAAGATCAGTAAAACTTAGAGTTACCAAAAGAAGTAGATCAAAGTTGCCAATAACTTCATATTAACACTGAAATCTGCAGTAATCTGAGAATTGGGATTTTCCAATTCACTGTAATTCCATATAAAATAATTCTATTGTGCAACATGATACACCAGACAAAATTTATTTGCTATACAAAAAATAAAAACAATCAAAAAATTTATGAATTTTAAAGAAAGATTATGTTGATACGATGATGGATAACTGTTTATGCCATAAGAGTGATCGAGTAAGTAATACTGAATATCAATGTAAACTTCCGAATTGTATGTGGTGACTTCATCAAACAAATTTAACAATTTAATCAGCATTTCTTATGAGCAGATTAATGGTTTTTATCATCAGAAAGCATAAGGAATTATGAAAGTAATTCTTACATTATAAACTCTTACTTTCAATGATTTCAGTCAAAATAAAGTCTGGTTACAGGATTTCATCATGAGCTGACATCGGTTACAGAACCGTTGAAAAAACCTGGGAGTACTGGACAGCTGTTTTGTTCATCCTAGTTTGGGGCTCGTCAGGAGTACGCTGCCACCAGGGTTCGAACCCAGTTTCATCTAAAGCTCTATAACTATTCAGAATGCATGCTTACTGTAAAAATACCTAATGAAGTATTTCAATAGCTTCAGGTTTTATAAACAATGATTAAAACAGGCAACATTACTGTTAAACTTCATGCCACAGCCAATTTATGAAGCAAACACGAGAAAGTATAAACCATACATCTAATGTACATTCCATTCCGTCATTCTTAATATAAACCATTTTGACATTTTCCGATAATTACTTTTATTATTTTCTCCATCCTTGGTATTATTTCATTGGTTTACTACAAATTAGAATAATGCATATTGAATTCCTTCTGTATTTTTTACAGCTTAGAATATTTAATCGAACTTAATCTTTCTACGATTAAATATTATACCAGTTTCTAATAATTATGCAGACTGTACTATTAAAGTTGAACAAAGTAGTGATTATAAAACAAAAAATATGAAAGACTGTCACATACATCATAATTTGACTGTAATAATTCTGTTGACTGTGCCTAAGTAAAGCACTCAACCCATTCTTAATGGTTACGTTAAAAGAGAATCCACTTATATTTATTACTGGGAATTTTTGTTTTGAAAAGGATTTTTTAAGAAGGACACTACTAATCTACATTAATAAAGTTTCTGTTCTGCACATTAACTTTCTTTAACGCTATAGAAATCAGTAAGTTTCGTTGATGAATGAACATTGGTTGAAGAAAGTCTCATAAGTTAAGTAACCCTGAAAGTATTTTCACTCCACCGTGAAGCCATTGGGAATTCCACCCCAGACACTAAATAAAGACATCTAAACTGTGCGTTGGTAGCACAGCGGTTAGGACGCTCACGGACCATGCACATGGTTCGGGGTTCGATCCCAGACCGACGAACTCCTTTACCTTGCTAAGCCATTAATAGAACTGGCAAAGAGGGAAGGTTGGGCATGAGGCTAGCAACCACATCCTGTAAAAATAAACACTGCTACAGAAACTTCAAGCCTCTGGCTTGAAGCCCTATGTTCCGCTGAGAACGTAAAGGAATAAAAAACTTCCCAACCAGTAGCAGTGTTTCTATCTATTAAATTGTAATGCTATAATTAAATGTTTTACAAAGCATTCAATCTATGTAGTAGCGCAAAATATCTTCAATCTTATACCCAAAAATATGATCTTTGCATTTACTTTTCTGAAAAATTTGAAGTGATTTATTACAGCAAAATTTAAAATATTTCATTCCGTGTTGGATTATTGCTGACTTGTTAGTTTTTCCTGAGAATGAAAAACCATGAAAACAATGTGTGGTGAATTATTATTTCCTTGGATTCCATGTGAAACATAGGGCTTCAACAACACATCTCTCATCTCCTCCTTACACGATCTCCTCCATATCACCCCACCACCAGTGACCCACTCGTCGCTTATCATTGGGATTCCATTAGAGGGCTGGCCCGGAGCGCGATTTCATTTGATGGTCTTCTCAGTGTATGCCTGATCTTGAATTCAGTCAGAATTCTGATTTTTTCCTTCTATTTACCACCTCATACAAGAAACAAGTATCAAATATAAGTAAACGTTTTAAAGAGGGTTTCGTGGGTTTATTAGAAATTACAAGAGCATATAACTCTGGAAACATACGCATACCCTTGATTGGACAATAGTCAGTGACTGGTGTAGTGTGTCTCATCCTTTGTTTTATACAGACTGAATTCTAATATCAACAATTCAAAGTGCACCGTGATGGTGAATCATCTAGAATTCTGGCCACATTGCAAACTTGACTGATAGAGTTCAGTCTGAACCAAACAAAGGACTAGGCACACTACACTAGTCAGCGACTAGTGTCCAATCGAAGCATCCAGTACACTCCTACAGGAGGTCGGTCGCAAGCCCGAATAGCTCAGTGGTAACATCTCTGACTGCAGAACTGGATAATGCGGGTTTGAGTCTCGGAAGGGACATGAGGTCCTTCAAGAGTGAAGATACTCCTTGCTGACTGACTCGTGAGTGCCAGCTAGCTCGAAACCTAGGTCGAAGGCTTCCTTTCGATTGCCTTCAACCATCTAATTCAACAGTGCGTATACCTTGTTAATGTTTTTGGGATAGAAATATCTTAGTAAGTCAAAGTGGCGTTCTAATGATTTGGTGTAACTTTTGCAAATTAAACAGAAGGGAAGTGATTTTACACAAGTTTTTTTAGATAAATCTATCAATAAAAGATTCAGACAAGCTACTTTATCCTCCTTAGCTTAAAACCATTGTAGTTATTTTCATTTTATGAGCTTTGAAAAATCTAGACATTTATTAAACTGATTTAATTCATTTGCTATCAAAACTTCAACCATTTTATTGCATAGAAAATAATATCTCGAAGAGAAAGTGAATATTAGTGTATTTACCCCTATATAGACCCTTTTTATTCCTTCACGTTCCCAGTGGAACATAGGGCTTCAAGCTAGTGGCTTGAAGTTTCTGTAGCAGTGTTTTCTTTTTACAGGAGAGGGTTGCTAGCCTCATGCCCAACCTTTCCTCCTTACCAGCTTTATTTCTGGCTTAGTGAGGTAAAGGGGTTCGTCGGCCTGGGGTCGAACACTGGACCACCTGCGTGGTCGTCGAGCGTCCTAACCGCTGTGCCACCGACGCACATATATAGACCTTAAGTCTGTAAAAAGTTAAAATGACACGCAGTCTCTTTAGCACAACGCGAATTCTTCTCAGAATGTCATTTCGAAATAAACATTGTTAGAAAAGTAAATTATAATAAGCACCAGTGACAATGTATTTTGGGTGTATTATCTACACCTCTTCATTACTCCGGTTAACGGCTAAAAAACATAACATTAATTTTGGTAAGTAAGTATGTGCTACAAGCTAACCAAACCTAATGTTATATACAGTGCTGATTTGTAACTCAATCAATACAATATAACATGAAGTCCTTTTTTTGCTTTTTCTTCTTCAGGTCATGTGTAGCATCAATAAATTCATACTTTGTGAACTAAGCATCCTGTGTTACTGAAAGAATACGTAAAGAATTTTCATCCCCCAAGCTATCTAATATGTACATGAATGGATTCATGCTGAGATATTCATTAGATTGTGAAAACTCCAATAAAAAATACCTAAAATAATATAAAGCTTCATAACTGTGAAATACTAAGGGAGTGTTAAAAAACTCTAAATCTACAAGGTCACAGTTTCAGTAGTTTTTGGGCATTTTATAACTGTATGTATTCGTTATAATTTTTTAAAAAAAACAACGTCTATCATTCTCGAAAACGTACTGTTTCGAAGTGTTCTATTCAAGATTACATTCTTTATGCGTATAAACGTAGAAAAGTAGATTTCCTTCGTGAGACTGCCTTAGACCCTACTTACCAGAACATTAGAAGATTGGGGTTATACTGTTATACAGTCATTTACGTTTCATGCTTGTTAGAAAGCAATTTGTTGTAATTTAAAGCAGTTAAATGTATTTAAAGTTTGGCATTTCAAAGAGACTCTTCGGTTTATTCAAATAAAACAGGTTGCCTAGAAAGTAATATAAGTTAGACAACTCGTGGGGTTCTAATACTAAATAAAGAATAAAAATGGTAGTAGAGTGTTAATCATTGCTTAGTAGATTACTTCATTTTTGTCTAATTTGCCTCATTTTCACACATTCGCACCTCTGTCTTCTCAATACTTGAATGCATATGTCAACTAAAGACATAATTATACATCAAAATGATTACTGTGTACTTAATTCAGTCTTATATTACGATAGTGCGATTAAAAAATGTTATATCTTATCAGAATTATGCATTTTTTTATCAACTATTCCTGCTTTTCTGTAATTGTTAACACATTGCAATGGAAAACTTTAAATTTTTTTTAGAGCAATCGCATTTCTGAACCTTTAAGAACTAACTACTACTACAGTGCTACACCAAGAAGATATACATACTATTATCCACCAATAGTGACCAGTAGACCCTTGTCAAGTTCTGGTTCTTATAGTAATTTATCTACTGAAATGCAAAGTGAACGTAGACGAATTGAGGTAAGCCGAAGTACTTTATTTGTTGTAAGGCTTTATTATATTATTCTTTGCATTAGTAGATTTTATTAAGCGACTAATTTACAATTCTGTAGGAAAGTTTAATTTCTAAATAATTAAGCGTCATTGTATTTATTTGTACCCTACTTTATATGACATAAAGGTGTTCTGAATATTAGGTCTGAACAAGTGTTTCTCTGCCTGGCCTATTATTAGTAGCTCACAAACACATTTGGTATGGAATGAGTTAGGGAATTTAGAAGTTGAAAGTCACAGACAATTGGCTTTCAACTCACTACTAAACTCCAGAGTGCATGCCTCATAACCTGAGAATCACTGTATTCGTCTCTCGTGACATCATGAGGTAGTTCTGCTGGAAAGTCCAGAACATTTAGTATGGTAGGGTTAATTAAGATATAACCCGCCTGTAACCGATAAACGCATTACAATGACCTAAATACTACAGGTGTAGTCACAATGTATGCTTTCCATCCACAACATAAAATATAAAACCTAACAAATGAAGTCATTACCTAGTCTAATGAATACAACGTCAAGCGCGAAATCCAAAGATCACTTGTTTTGTACTTTTTTTGTAGTATAGGCTTCAGTTGCTATCAGTCAAAGAAAAATACTATACCAATTGGGTGCAACTACACAGTTCAAACTAATTTGAATATATCAGGAGGCAAATATCATTTTCATCTTATAAAATGGCTTTAGTATGTAAAAATTTCTCTTGTTTTATAGGAGAACACTGCCTTATTTAGTTTTAGGGATATATTGAATTTTAAGTCAGAAATCATTTTTCCAAAATAAGGAACAAAAACGTTTCCTGATGATCAGATCTTGAAGGAGAATTATCATCCTATAACTGTCACTTTGAAATATTGTAACTATTTATAGATAGGAAGAGATAATTTCCCCTTTTCATGCAAGATCCTGTACAGATGATGAAATTCAATATTTGTAAAGATAACAGACAAAAGTGACAGTGATGAAACATTTTTCAAAGAAAAAGGACACGTAACATAGTATTGACAAATTAACGATTCTGTGAAAATACGTGTGTGTGTATGTAGAATTCAGATAAGTCTTACACTCGCGCAACACAACACACTTTTCTGAGAGTCGTCAAATAAAATGACTGCTGATACAAAAATACGATATCTCTCAGCTCTAATTACTTATGAATTTCACATCTAAGACATCAAAGTTAATCTCAGTAAAACTTGAATTGATGCCAACCAAACACCTTATAAGCATAAACAAGCGTAAACATTTTTCAGGCTTAGGTCAACAACATTTTTAGTGTGTAAATGAATAACAAACATGGCGGGGGGGGGGGGTTAGTTCTGTCAATACATAAACAATTCTTGGAAAAATTCAACCGTGCCAAAAGAATCTCAAAGGAAAATATGGTTGTGTTGACATAATTTAAAAGGAAATGTAAAATCTAGTTGATTTATTTATGTTTTCCCCCTTGCTATTAATTTCCTGTTTTCATTAGGATTAGTTATAAGTGCAACATATTTGTAGAAACCTTAGGCATTCTTCATAATCACCTGCATAGTTTGTTAAAAATCACATTCAGTAAGCATAGTCAGGCTGATGGAATAAAAGTCTACATCCTAGGTAATTTACTAAACTGTTGTAAATATCAGTTATTGTATGCACAAAATCAAATTAACGCATATCTTGTCTCCACTCATGTTAGAATATAAGTGGAATTTGTGGTTAACTTCACTAGTTGTAGGTGTTTTAGGTTTATATACATCGACAATGACAACTTTCCATTCCATTCAGTGATACCAAAATCGTAGACACATACAACATCTTCAATAAAGAGAGATAACAAGCATTTTTTATAATTCGAAAGCCTTAATTTTATGTTTCAAGTTTCCTGTGAATTACACATTGCATTGTTATGTTGCTTGCTTTATAGAATAGGTTTCACTGCCTTCCTAAAAAAATATTTATTTTTTGTTTATTGAACTTTATGTTATGAGATTTACAATTTATAATAGTCTTGTTTTTAACTGACAAAAGTTCCTGAAATATTACTTTTTGAGAATTTTTCGCATCGATCCGAACAACCACTGTTTGATGACATTCATATTTTTCATGTCTGATTAAAAACCTTTAGAAATTTACTAAAAGACTGATTACTGAACTAAGAATACTCTTTTCGGTAATGTCTTCATCAGGTTCAACAGTTATACATCCATAATAATGAAAGAATTAGGTTTATTAACAACATTAATGTTTAAATAACATCTAAACAATAATATCCGTAGATTACACTTCAATAGCAACTGTAGGCATGGTAATATGCATCAAGATAACATCACACTGAATATCAGACAGATTAGGACAAATAATTATACAGAATTCATAAAATTTATAACCTCGACAGAAGGCTAGTGCAGTAGCACTGGTTGGACCTGTTTCTTCTGCGTACAGAGCACCAGTTGTTTTAGGCGAATTCTAATAGCATCTGCTGTTTGAGGTCTTCGGTATCTGGATGCTTTTGGCAATTTATTTGGTACCCAACAAATGATGGAGAATGATTATTCAATGCTGTCTTTGTGGCCGGTTTGGACCAGGTGGTAGAAAACTGAGCTTTTGATGTTCTTCACTATGACCCTATTTATCCACACCGGTAGGTATTAACGAGCACGAGAAATCAAGTTCCTAGAGCAACAGCCAATATAACTCGCTCCACAAGCGCAGTTGTATTGATGCATACAATTAGAGGTGGCTAGTCTAGGTACTTCATCTTTCAATTGAGGAATCACAACAGCTTGTTTAAAAAAAATTACTTGTACCGAGTGAAATAATTACCAACAAGTTGAGAAGATCTATTCAAAGAACTTCTAATGCCTGTAAACTATAACTGTAGAAGCTGATGAAGAAGTTATCAAAAAGAATATTCTTTGTTCAGTGATCAGTCTCAGAAAGACATTTATTCTTTCGAAAGTACAATGATCATACTTTTGAGAAAGACTTCATTGTATTGATGATTTGTGAATTACTTCTTGAAATGCCTTGTCTAGCAGGTTATAAGATCAACACTTCCACAAACAATCTTAAAAAGTATTCGACGCATTTGCTGCAGTGAAATCACAAATATTCACATATTAGCTTAGGAAAAAATTTCGGAGAGAAAGTTCTTTTATTAAACAAATAAATGACTGCAGGGTTACCACTGCGTTATGAATTATTTCTGATTTATTTCTGTTGATGTTGACATAGTCCAATTTTCTGGCTAAAGTTACTTAGTAAATATCATAAAAAATATGAATGCAGCTGGAAATTATTTAATTGTTCTTCGAACATTGCATCTGATAGCGGATATTTCTTCTCTAGACTTGGTGACATTTTCAGCAAGTTGCATGACTCCTTAGGTATTCTGTATCCAGTTATTATCCAAGTAAAAATGAGGGGAAACATTTTTTTGTAACTTTCTCACCTGACATTTTATTGCGGTACGCCATGCTGATTCTTCTTCATAGTATGTAACTGGACTTTATTCATATTCAACTTGGTTGAACATTCACTTAGTTGAGGGGTCATTATCTTGCTCCCGTTCATTTTTCTATGCTTGGTATTCCCTGCGTTTAAAAAAAGGTTCTCATGAATTTGGTAAGTATTTATTCTGTCATGCATTTACGTGCTACACCTTCACAGATATTTTAGAGAATCGAAATCACTTACTTCTCATAAGTACGATGTCGAGTCACTACAGTCTATTTTATCCAATTCAGTTGCTGATTGACAACGAGCTCGCCTCGTAACCTAAGGGATAATGGATATGTACCAGAGAAGAGTTCCATAGTGGGACGACACCATGGCTTCCAGTGGTTCCCTAAATGATATCGGCTTGTGACTGAATCCATTTCGTTTGCCCCAGGATTACAAATTATCTGGAAAGTTTTAAAAAGATTTACTTCTTTCAGACGCATTACAGAAGTGCATAACACTAAAGACTAATAAAATACCACACATTTTCAAGAATCAAAGAGTAAATATATGCACTACTTAAAGTTTTCTTTGTTTGAACATAAGTAAAATCAAAAAAGGGTTAGCCTAAGCTTTAGTAGCATGACTTTTTCACTGTAACATTTAAGGATAACAGATATGTCTGGAAATAATTCATGGGTTCAGACTGTTTAACTTACCATGTTGCTCAAATAGTAAATCGAAGACTGCTGAAAGTAAATTCGGTGAATATGTTATTAAAAAGAAGTCTCACTATATACCAGGTACATTACCTTTAAACTAATATACTCTGTTTTCGTGTAAAACATAAGTTTTCAATATTTTCATAATTATACACCGTATATATGTATATATATTCACGCTATCCAATAGCGTCGTATGGACGATTTACTGGAATACAAATTACCCTCACCTGAATACTACAGGGAAATGAGGGGTTCCCTGCGTGCACTGAATGACAAGTTAGACACTCATCGCAAATTGCTTGATCGATATTCCGGAATCGATATGAATGCTTCAACTGCTTCAGTTCAGGATCGAATTGAATCAAAATATCAACAAATTGCAGACAGGTTCGTTGGGTGGACAAATATTTCCCTTTAGTGTCTCTTCTAACAACCGGCTTATCTGATTAGATTTTATTTCTGTATGCCTTTTTTTTTCTTATTGCTTTATGAATGCTGTGTATAAAAATAGCTTTATATGGTTTGTAATTACTCCCTACTAATTCATTATATTAATTTGTGTGTGTACCCTGTAAATCTGATAACTATATCCCAAATTCTGTTTTATATTAAAACGTCCTGGACTTGAACTAGAAAACTCCAATCCTGTGATGATGTCTAATTTTACACAGAAAAAAAATAACAAACGATGAGACACTTACATATCTTCCTTCCACAGAATGATCTCATCAGAAACCTATATAAAATAATACCTGAAATATCGTTGAGAACCTGATTATTAACATTTGTGTAGATATTGCAATGTGTTAATTAACTTCAGGGGTTAACTGTCAAATTCTAAGCCTCAACTGTATGATGAATAAAATAGTACATCCCACCTTATCTTAGAATACTAGATTATCCACCGTTCACACTAAGATCGAAATTTCACACGTGAAAGCATTCAAAACAGAGCTATGTACCAATCACTAATTTATTTTACTTAAAGACGAGGATATCAAAGCAAGAATCGGAAAAGCAAGACAAGCTTTCACTACTCTCAAGTCTGTGTGGAGGTCAACAACACTCAGCATCAAAAATAAGATCCGGATTTCCAACTCCAATGTGAAGTCAGTCAGTGCTACTATACGGATCAGAGACTTGCACTGCGCGTCATAAAGAGCATCTCAAACAAGCTACAGACCTTCATTAACAGTTGTCTTCGCTCAATACTTAAGATCAGATGGCCAGAAAAGATCAGCAACAAAGATCTCTGGGAGCGAACCAACCCAGCAGGAACCGATTGTGAAACAAATATGCAGGAAGAAATGGAGATGGATTGGCCATACTCTTAGGAAACCATCAAGTGACATCCCTAGACAAGCCCTTGAGTGGAACCCGAGTTGGTCGTCAGTGCAAGAGTGACTTGGAGGAGATCATGTGAAGAGGAGATGAAAACGTGTGGGCAGACTTGGAGCGAGGTGAAGACTCTAGCAGAGAACCGAACGCAATGGAGACGCGTGGCTGAAGCCCTATGTTCCTCTAGGAATTAAAGGATACAATAATAATATAATAGTAAAGTTGATAAATCCTCATCAATTCTTAAGGAACTGTTACGCAAATTCATAAAGTATATGTCATGCCTCAGTTTTCACTTACTAAAGAATTATCACTGGTATACTCCTCGCGTTATGCCGTCCTATCCCTTACATCTTGTGAAAATTAAACATTGTTCACTTCATAACTACTGAGTTTTTATTCAAAGCCCAACTGATAAAATGTAGTACCGTAATGTATATTTTGAGTCAAAGGCAAATTAAGTAAGTTTTTTCTTATCTCTGAGATTACACTACTCATTAGGTTATAACTGACAGTTCTTCAAAGCAAGATATTCAGCTTTTCGCTTAGACACAAGAACAAAATATAATGTGATTGACTTTAGGTGATATATCTCAAAGTGCATCTCAAGAAGTTTTATTTCTCTCATTACTTATGACAAACAGTAAACAGTGTAACTCAGATTTTCGTTTTTTAACCGCCCTCGCACAATATGAAGAGTACTTATTACTTCATGAATACAAACAAGCTGTACTACTTATTATGAATCCTTATAATCTCTGCTTAATATAACTTAAACAGTGCAAGAAATGTATACGCCATAGTGTTATTAACTATGTGATACCTGTTTAAATTATATTTCTTACTTAAGACAATCTGCTACAGGCAGTTCATTAGGCGCTTAGTTGATCAAGAGAAGTTTTTAATTTCATCAGTCATTACCATTTTTTTAAAATTTTTTAATTTTCCTACAACGTGTTCCCTTGATCACCTTTGTCAAGGCAGAAAGAACAAGATTTGCAGATATTTCATTTCCAGGTTTCTCCTCAGCGACATTTCGGTCTAGTTTTTCAGATTTACTTTGAAAAAAAATTTTGACTTAATTGAAAAGAAGAAGAAATTTGATTCTACAACTAAACAAACATGATGGAAATACCTTCTTCATTTCTGTTGATAAATAATAAGTAAAAGCTTTTAGATGAAAGTGGTCACGGAAAACTTCTCAAAATGTTCCTACTTTGAGCATTGAAACCTGCTATATGCTAAATTATGCCGATATTGTGAGCTGCAAAGTAGAAAGGTGTAGATACTATCTTACTCAAATGCTTAGAAATACTTCCATGAATAAATGTCGTTTATCGACAGAATAGGCCAAAAAGTAAGTGATATAATTGTGAGGAAACTTCTATACTCTATCCCTTGAATTAATCTGTTAAAAGATGAAAGCTCTTGGAGTTTGATTCTTTTGCAGAGGTAAATCAGTGTGAACAGCTCCATCATTCACACAGTTATTTTCAAAAACGTTAGGCTGTTGAATAAGCTACGATAGTGCCATCTTGAATTCTTCCCAGCCGTTAAATCTGAAGTGATCATTTCATAAGTAGGATGTTATCACATCTTTATGTTAGTAACTAATCATCACAACACCAAAACAACCCCGTGTACTTACTCGCTCTTCTTCAACAGAATGGGCCGTCGAACCACGTGAGTTCAGAAATGAAGATTTAAAGAAGCCTAAAGTTTAAATTTTGATTTAATGAACAGCGATTAATTAGCATGGAGTTTTGTCATTGAAAAAAATGATAATAATAACATTTAGTTTGTTACACAGTTTTGCATTGAATTGCTGCAGTTATTTTCATTCAATCTCTTCTTTCAACACAAAATAACCATAAAGGTTAATTTTCATTTCATAGAAATGCATAACCACTACTAAGGACTTAGTTTTAACATCACATTAAATCCTAAACTGTTGCTTTCGCTTGATTCCTTGACTGGCTTCATATTGCTTCATAATCTTGTACGGCTTTACAAACAATACTTTATTGCTTACTTGTTCAAAAACTGCTTTGCAAATTTAAAAAAATAAATAAATAAAGAGGACAAACTAACAGATTGATGATCGCTAAATATCATTTGAACAATGATGAATACATCTTCATATTAATCATTTTCCCCTTTGTTTTACTTTAAGTTAATTCATGTAAATACTGTTCTACTTAAAAGTTAGATATGTTATTGCGTAGTTTGAATAGTTTTACTGAGATTGAAATGACACTAAATGTAACCATAGAAACGGGTGTCTATTCATGCTCAGCTTTAAACCACCTTGAAAATCCTACTGAAAATCTGTCATTATTATTTTAATGGATATCTCCTACGTCTGTATCATCACTGATTGATGAGAAATATCTTCAAACAGGATGACTGTAACAAACTCATCCAGCTGAACAACAATAAATCACTATTTTTTCTCCTTTGCTTGACTATTTTTATGTTATACATTTTTGTGTTGAAATTGAAATAGTTTTAATTTAATTTTATAATTTACTGACATTTGTCTGTTTCTTTTTGTTATACCCTCCTTTTTTCCCCTCCATTTCTACTGCATGATACCTGTAATAATGTTATTAATTGTAATGATGTACCTACAATACATCTGTAAATATATACACTTATATTAATGTTCTTATATGCCTAAATGTCTAATTGTCTGGTAACTTAATACAATAATGACCATATATATAAATATATGGCTGTCTGGAATGCATGTGCTACCTGCATACATGTGTAAAACCAATGTTGACTAATAAATACTGATTAATTAAATAAATAAATGGAGAATTTACTATTATTCAGAATGTCAGGATTAAACGGTTATCGATCACACGGGCCAAGCATAAATACATCAGAGCTTGAAACACATTTGTACTACACCAGCCCACAAACTACGTTGGTAGGTTAAAACATCGAAAGTATAGTTAGCAAAATATTAATTGCGTATGTGGAGTATTAATTAGACACATAAGAAACATTCTTAACAATATCAAAACAAATACAAAATAGGAAACTGATTTAGTTGGAAAAAACAGTAGGATGAATTGTTACACTTCTGTAGGTGAATACACAATACTAAGTCTTGGCATCCTATTGAATTCCAACCTTCATGTAGCCACTATACCTAACTGACGTCATCTGGAGTTAATTTCACCTTTTCTTGTGAAAGTTAATCCACTGAACTGGGGATGATAAGTTGATAAACAATTCTATTTTTAGATCACATAATACATTGTGAATTTGAGGTAAACAATGACTTCATTCAATAGATGAATCAAAATTTCTTTAGCAAACCAAAGTTAAGGCAAAATATTTTGCGCAAACTTATGTATAAAATGAATACCCAATAAAAAACAAAACAAATTATTAACAGTTTTATTAGTTAGTAGTTATGCATGAAATATTCTACTGCATGTATTTTATTGTATTCAGCTGTGTGCTTATTAACCTCAATGCTATGATTGTTTTGCATATAAATTGTAACTGACCTTAGTGCATCCCTTATTATCTCTATGCAAATAAGAATATGTGTGCATAAATAAAAGTGTGTAGCAGTCCAAAAAGAAAGCAGTTAAGAAGCGAACAGTTCTCAGTCTAAGACTGCATAAATAGCGCTTAATTTCATCCTAGTGCTTGACACTTCCAAAGCCACATTCATTAGTGCATATATGCTTATCTCATTGAATAATATTATCTTGTGTAAGAATCACAACAACTCATAAGTCATCAAATAAAAATGATTATCGATAAAATGTGTGCTTATTCACTTGCTAATAGCAGTGGAGTAATTCGCTGACTTTCGAATAATAAAAATGAGTGAAAACTAGTTTTTAAAGTACACTGACAGAATGTGTTTGGAATTCGCTCTTAATATACTGTAGTCCTTAAACTTACTTTATCACTCAGAATTCAACTATATTTGTACGTATGTACATAAGTACACATAAATTAATGACGTTTAGGATAAAATATAAGTGGATGTCACTTCATTTTAAGCGAAATGATTTATAGGCAAATATATTTCAGTGTGTCGGTTTGAAAATTGTAGCGCATGCTAACTTAGTGTTTAAAAATTGTTTACATTTCATGTGTATAACACAATTAAAATTTTACTTTCAGGGCTATGGGACGGGATTAGTCTATCCTGAGGGTAGTCAAACTTCTGAGCTAAGAGGAAGAATCAAGCGCCTTTTGTGTCGATCCCGACGTGATCCTCATTACTATCGTTACTTACCAACCGGAGTCGTCTAAATTTGATAATGACTAAATTCCATGTTCGACCATGGTGTTCTTGCTGTTACTGTTATTATTCTTAATACTACACCGCATGCTTGTTCACTTAATGTCCCTTCAATACAAACGATTTATCTACTTAGTTATACCCTTTATCTTACAATTACAACTTTTGTTTTAATCTACCTTTCTTTGGCGACAATTCAAAATAAATTAGCAATTTTAATTTTGAGATACAAAATTGTTCCCCCCGACCTATTTATATACATATATTTATACAAACAAATGAAAAGATAGTTTTTCGAGTTTTTTTCTTCTTACTAAACAACTTTAATTATCCACAGAAATATCTATCATCTTTTGTTGCAAACTGAAATTAACAATAAAGTAAAACAATTTAGTTTGAAAAAGAAAAGCAAGAAGAACCAATGACAAATTCAAAACAGATTAGACTTGTTTTAATTTCGTTCTGTTGTTAATTAATACTATTAAAGTTGTTACAATTATCACAACATTTGTTTGTTCTTCTTTTGTTATCAGTATAAAGTTTGTTCTGTCAAAATTTAATTCGATTTAATTTGTTCCGTCAATCACTGAAATAATTACAGATGAATATTTAAAATGCTTTTGAAGGAGCTTTTGTTCTGATTCTGTTTTCCTCATCTTTTCATTCGCTTGTTTTTCCCTCGACTTTCTGTCTTTTTGGTTTCACTTTGTATGAAGTGGATCAGATTCTGCTTAGGTATTAAAAAATGCTATATACAGTTTATTTTGATTGTTTTCTCATATAATTGCTATCACAATGCAGTTAAACAGATACTGGTTGTTGGAAAGGAAGGAAACTTCAGTTGTTAAACAGAAAATTATGCATTACATTTAGGCTTGTTTAATGTAATAAGATGGGTTTTGCACGAGAAACGTTGTGTACCTGAGCTAACTGACAACGCATTTATTTTTCAAGACATTTTATATGAATACGGAAAACAAAAAGGTGCCAAACAATTTAAAATTAGGTACCAGGAGTTACAAAAGTGAAAGAATAACAGTAATAATAGTTATTATGAAGACATACGGACGCAAATAGACTGTGAGGAGAAAACTACTTAAAAAAGGTATAGTGATTAAATATTCCTTATATTAAAATGCTTCTAAATCCTCATGTATATAAAAAAAGAAAGGTAACTACTGATTGGATTTAAATAATGCACAGTGACATCTCAGAAACATCGGCATCAGCAGACTATGATACAACATAATATGACTTTTTTTAACAAGAAACTTATCGAAGCATTATAAACTGGACCATTATGTAGTAGAAACGCAACAGAAATCGAATAAGATAGAGAAGTGAACATTACATCAATATTTAAACATCACTTTGTCAGAATAAAACTATCTCAGACAGTCAATGTTTAGGAATTTCTAAACTGTAAGCTCCTAATTATTGTGGAAATCTATAACCTTTGTTTCTATAGATTTCCCCAGGTATGAGTAACATAATAATAATAATAATTTATATTTCGTATAAATGGGTAAGTTTACAAGAAATGCATGTCATTTTTACAGGCACGATCAGTAATGTTATAAATGACAATCCTGAAGTATCATAAATTAATACTTTCCAAAAGTTTCAATTGTTCAATTATTGTACAAGCAATCAGAATGGGTTCTTATAAATGTTAAATTAAAAACCGTTTACTAAGGTCACCACCAAACTTGAGCGACAACTCAAACTTCGTTCCTGCTGATAGTTATGGTAAACCAGTGAACAGCGTATATCTGTGTGAGTGCTATACTGCCACGTGATTGAATGCTATTTCAGGAAGAGGAGAAAATTCTACGCAGCTGCAAAATGGTATAAAATGCAATTATGACTAATACATCATTGGAAGTATATTTACAAGATAAATACAAGGGGAAGAAGCTATATAGTACTTGAAATGAGAGTATACATTTGCAATGTTTAGTGCTAACCATATTGGTCTAAGCATGGAAACTATGATGTTTTCGATGAAAATATAGCTTTGTTCAAACATTGGTGTTGTTGTGTTTTTAATCAAAGCAACCAGACTTAAAGCAAGCAACAGATATGGACAAGTTGTCTGCATATGGAAATTTCTCTTGTGAGTATCAAATGTTTTCATTATAAGCGTAAGCTTATTGATTTCATCCTTGATTTTTTTAAATATAGTGTATCTAATGTCTTTCGTGTCATACAAACAAAAGCATGTTACAAGCAACTGGTGTATGATACTTTATGTCTAGGAGATATTTATGCTATCACTTTATTGTCTCAACAGCCACTATTAGAGCTTGTTGAGTTTCACAGCACTTCCATCTAATTATACCAACTCAAACCATATTTTCGATAACCAATTTTTTATCATCAGTTAATAGTGCAAGAATGGTGATTATATTGGCTCATACAGTCTATATTAACATGCTGCGCAGTAAAATTTATCTCAAAAGCACAATATCCAAGAATTTAAAATGTTATTTAGAAAATATTTTGATGCGTTTCCTGACTATAGAACACCATGAAATTCATGACACTATATGTGGTTGGAATTTAACTCACTATATTTTGAATATACATACTTGATTCTGTCAGGCTAAATGACTCTCTCTTGGTTTTAAAATAATTCAAGCCTGTATGCATACTGAAGTGCGATTCAAACAATTTCACTAAAACATTTGAGTATCATAGCAGCAAGACTGTTAGTTATAAAACGCAATATTTTATGCTTAATGTCTAATGTCGTCTGCACAATGTCTGATATCCAATGAATTATTCACAATCTTCCAAATTATTTCATATGAAGACATCAACAGAAAAGACAGAAATGATAAAGGAGCATCCTAGATGAAGAAGTACTGTCATTATGTGGGAAAAAACAACTTGTGGGAATAAATCTACTTTAACTTAAATTATGGTGGCGAATCATGTTCTGATCAGAATGCAGCCGCATGCATCACCATCGAACAAAGCATAGAATGGCAGTCAAACCCCAACCTCAACTTCATCGACTTCGAAAACGTCTTCGACAGACAGCGCTGACCGAGAAGTAATTTCAAAACTACTTCAACTACTTCTCTGTCAGCCTTATTCAACAGCTGGCTACATGACATTGCCACGTGTCAGGTGATCCACGACGGAAAACTCAGCAAGGCGTTCGAGGTGAATACAGGAGTAAGACAAGTTGGCTGCCTATTATCACCGATGATATTCTTAATTGTGGTGGATTGGATTATTCGTCAGACTGTGGGGAGTGAGAAGATAGGAATGTGCTGGACTGATAAGAAGACTCTAGAAGATCTTGATTTTGAGGACGATTTATTTTGAATAACACAAATTCGAGGACTTGCACTCAAAATTTAATAAGTTGGCGGACGAGACAACAAAGACAGGTTTGTAGGCGAACATATAGATGACAGTGGTGATGAAGATAACCAACCAACAACAGCAACAAGCACCAATAACTAACAAGGGAAGAAATTTGGAAAAGAGGCACTTCCCCCAATTATCTGGGTGTTATCGTTTCAAATACGGGTGGAAGGGATGAGGATGTCAAAACCTGATTCCGAAAGACAATAAAGTCCTTCATAACCCTGAAATCAGCATGAGAATCTTCTTTACTTACAATATAATCAACAAAATTTGGATTTTCAACACCAATGTTAATTCAGTGAGCTCTACCATATGGGTCAAAGATTTCATGCATCATCAAAGGCATTTCGAATAGGTTGTCTCAGACTTTCATCAACAGATGGTTTATCTCCATACTAGCGATCAAATGGCCAGAAAGAATTAGTGACAAGAAACTATGAAAAAAAACCAACTAAGAACCGATTGCTGAACAAATATGTAGAAGAAAACGGACGTGGATTCAACACAATTTAAGGGACAGTCAAATGATGGCGAATGAAAGCTTATAGGCAGTCATGAGGTGAACTGTAGTGGGCTGCAGAGAAAAGGACAAAATGGAGCCTAATGTTCCACCTGGAACCCAAGGGAATAGTAATACTAGATATGGGGCATGAAAGATCCACTAGGTGACAGTGCATGTTGAGTGCGCGCTGGTGCTGCTTGTATGCAAATGTGTTGAAGGGGGAGCCCAGGATTGCTGTTTTCCTACATCCTATTTCATTAGGATGTTTTTTGGACTACTATTTAAAATTTTGGCACTTTCTTGCGATAATCTCGTTCATAAGACTGACGAAAACGTTTTAGACAGTGAAGTAAGTGGTGACTTCATGAGATTAACTCCAGCAGTCACTTTGGAAAATTACTACCTGACTTTTCTGATGAGAAATTAACGGGGATAATCGAATTTTCGAGGATTATGAGAGTGGTAACTGCATTTTCAGGAGTTGTCATGCTCTTGTATTCTTAAATAATACTTTGCCAGCCCTAGGTATTGCATTGTTTTCTCACTAGTTTGGGCAGTGTCAAGAGCAGCTACTAGGTGATCTAGGCTAAAGAGTCAGTAAGTCATATGACCGATGCGTAGATCTAGCGAGATAGATAGCCTCACATTAATCACAAACGTGATTTTTAGTTGAATCAAACTAAAAATGAACTCTAGGTCTTCTGAACAGTGCAGTTAACTGGTATCGTAGAAGATCGTAGCCAAACGTTCACAGACACAGTCCAAATGCATGTTAGTTAGTGGGAGATTCACAGAAACTTAAGTTGTAACCACATGTTTAAATCTGTATTAGGAGATTTGTCAAGAACACTTTGACCAGTACAACTAGCGTGTTTGTCAGTGGACGAAATCATACTCAGTGCAGCTATTCAGCACTTTAAATGAAATGAAATTTTGATAGGGGATGACATAGTTTTAGAGCTTGTAATCCTTGCTTCATTAACCAAACCATATATGTTGATGCTCCGTTCACTGATCCCATTGGAGCTTTTACCAATAATGAAGGCACAAGCTTTATGTGACAGTTTAGATATTGCCGTTTAGTGGTATAGAAAAAAGTTCTTTTTTTATATTTTTTTATATTTTGGTTACAGCTTGATGCCACACCGTATTTTCAGTACAAGTATGGCATTTTCAGCATGGATATCGGTAGCCCAAATTCAGGCCGACCATAGATATCGGGTGTGCGCCGGCTGGGGATCGATCCTCGGACCATGTGCATGGTCGGCGAGAGTCCTAACCACTGTGCCACCGACGCACATGAAGCAGTGTCCCTCTAAGATATATTTGTTGAAACAGTTGCACGCGTCTTTGTCTAACGATGGATCGCAAGTTTTGGATGCCCATCCTCCACAACAACTGATCGTGGGTGGTAATTCAGAAGGGCTCATTCCTAGCCTTGACTGAAGTCCTAGTTTGTATAAGTATCAGAACAACAGCCTACCGTCCTTAAGCTAATGGTGTGGTAGAACGTCTACACCGGCAGTTGTCAGCTGCAAACAATGTACATTGGACTGAATCACTGCCGTTAATTCTCCTAGGCGTACGAAATTTAATCACCCATGTTTCAAAATTTCTTCACATGTATTTGTTCGTCGTGACTCCGGAACCCGCATATGATGGACCATAAGAAGTCATTAAACGTGTGGATAAATCTTTTGTCCTAGACAAAAAAGCCGGCGGTGATTCTGTGGGCATCGATTGTCTGGAACCGACCTGCTTAGATGGCAATTCAATGAGCCTCGAACTAAGCATCCCCAGTAATACGCAGGTAACCGAATATCCGTTAGTCCTCGGAGAAATCATTAGCATGGCAAGGGCCACCGAACCTTCCATTGAGACCCCACAGAAAACGCGTTCTCGATGAGCCGTGAGATTCCCACAACATTTCCACACTCACGTCTCAAAGCGACTCAACCAATTTATCGCGCTTATGGTGTGTTTTATTCTCAGGCACATGCATCTAATTTTTATTGCATCCCGCAACATAGGCTACACACTTCCATAACCGTGAACGCTTCGTCCCCTAAGAAAACTATATCTTTTCTCGATGTTATATATTTCGCATTATTTTTTCTGTATGGTTAATGTATACCATTATTAGAATGTCACTTTTGATACATTTTCCCCGGCAAGTTTCTCAGCACTCTCGTTTTCTATTCCAGGTGCGACAGACACTGAACAAGAAGCAAACTAAGCATGAGATCTAACATACAAACATAAACGAAGCAATGCACATGCACCCAACTAGTGTAGGCAGACGACCAGTAGGCACTACATTAAGCACTGGGTCTTAACTTCGGGCTGGTTTCGTCCTAGGGTCATAACTACCCTGCCATGGCAGGAGTGAGCTGTAGCGGTAGGTAATTCCCTAGAACTATTAGCTACAGCATTCATTATTGAACATGGGATGCTAACCCTCGCTGTTCAAGTCAACTTGTTTAACTGAAGGCTTACGGCGAAGCAACAATGCCATTCGACACGCCGTCATGTTACGCTCGTTCGTTCGTGCACTATCCCTAGCTAGTTAAGCAGTCATTTCGCACTCCAATTTGGTCCCAAAATATACTTCGTGATTTCGACGGACGATTCTGGTGTTTCGCTTTACCTTTGATCTACGCGGAACGAATACTATAGAAGTTGTGGGTGTTAGATCTTGAGTTAGTTTAAATCGTACTGTCCGTGAACGTCAACATCCTCAGCCTCTATACAAGTTACTACGTGGTTATGCAGCTGGTACTGACAGTTGACATAATTAATCCACAAGTAAACTTACCTCACTAAAGGCTACCGAGTGTTTGGCTGTAACATCTCAAGGTAACCGCTGAGAAAGGTTCTAATTATCACGTACTTTCTCCGAATACATATACACATATGTCTAACATCATTTGGAATATAGCGAACAAGGAGTAATCCTGTACTCTGAAGAGGAATCATATTTGTTGAAGAGAGTTCAAGGGGCAGAGACAGAAAGAACTTGGAGATCTCAGTTTTCACACAAACATCCATTATGTCTACTGCATTTATTACCAGTAAGATTTACACTCTGTTGATGGGATCATATCAGTATTCCGTGACGTATGGAATGACGGGGATTAATTCCTTCCATCTTTCTCACCCGTTTTTTTGAATGAAATGACATCACTACAGAAAATATATCTGGAAGTTTATTTGTGTTCACATGTTTGAACCCTTTCAGCTATCCACTGCAGCAAGTAATTTCATCGTCATTCTGTGGATGCATTTAAAGCAGTTGTGAATAAGCACAAGCAACAAGTAGAAAGAGCTCTACTATCCTGAAAAGACTTGAAACTAGCTTTTGTTTGAATTCATCAGTTAGTAGTTCTCTAGTAGTAACCTTTTCGAAATATATACTTGATTTCGCGTTGCACCATAAAAATGACTAAACCAAAGATTGGAATCAACGGATTTGGTAGAATAGGCAGGCTTGTATTGCGGGCTGCATGCTACAAAGAAACAGTTGAGGTTGTCGCGGTTAATGATCCTTTCATAGACATAAATTATATGGTTTATATGTTTAAGTACGATTCGACACATGGCACATTTCCTGGTGATGTAGCCGTTCAAGACAAAAAGCTTTGTGTAAATGAGATGAAAATATCTGTTTATAATGAAAGAAGTCCTGAGACAATTCCATGGGATAAAGACTGTGCTGAGTACGTTGTTGAATCTACCGGCATCTTCTCAACTATTGAAAAGGCTCAGGTGAGGCACTAACGATTAATATTTCTGTTTTCTAGGCGCACCTAAAGAACAGTCGTGCTAAGAAAGTCATCATATCGTCACCTTCTGAGGATGCTCCAATGTTTATATGCGGAGTAAATCTCGATAAATATGATAAGTGTATGAACGTTGTCTCGAACGCATCGTGTACTACCAATTGCCTAGCACCTCTAGCCAAAGTCATACACGAGTCATTCGGTATAGAGGGAGGTATTGTTACCAGTGTCCACTCATACACAGCTTCACAGAAAGTTGTAGATGGTCCTTCCTCTAAATGGAGAGAAGGAAGAGGTGCTGCTCAGAATGTTATACCAACCACAACTTGTTCGGCTGTATCAGTTGGGAAGATCATACCTGAATTGTCGGGAAAGTTGACTGGAATTTCTTTCCGTGTCCCAACTGCTGATGTTTCAGTGGTCGATCTAACATGCAAACTGTCAAGACCTGCAACATATGAAGAAATAAAGGAAGCAGTTAAGACGGCATCTAGAGGTCCAATGAAAGGCATCCTTGACTACACAGAAGACCCAGTTGTGAGCATTGACTTCAAAGGCTGTTCTGCCTCTTCTGTTTTTGATGCTAACGCAGGACTTCAACTGAATGACACATTTGTGAAGTTGATATCATGGTAGTTCACTATATTTACGTAAATGATATCCTTTTTAGGTACGATAATGAGTACGGATACAGCTGCCGACTTGTTGACCTAATCTGTCATATGTACCTTGTGGACCACTGAAATTATGTAACATGTACTAACTACACTGAAAAACCCAGAGTAATACAGTTTCCTATTTCTATTTGTGTGATTAATTTGCCATTTTTGTCAGCTGGATCGGCGAAAGTTTAGCACTGTATTCATATTGACATTCTGATGTTTAGCTAGTCTGAAAAGTCATGAAAATCATAAAATGCTTCTCTGCCCCAACTTTAGTCTTCACTGGTGTTTCCTTGGACTACTACTTTTTACGTCATGTTTTACTTCTTTACGGGCCCTTACCTACTTGTCCTTGGATTCTATAATTCCTTTGATGGAACTGATGGTTTCATTTCGTCCATATAAACTGCCTACGGTACAAAATGGAAAATCTTCAACACCTCTGTTTTACAGATAAAGAATAGCAAGCTACACAGCAATAAAACACAGTATCACCAAGCCTAACGTATTACTACTTTGTAGAAGTATTTGAGAGCTATTTATAAAAAAATTCTCTCCCATACACGCCGCAACCTTAAGTCATTTTATACCGTTCTAATATGCTTCTAGGTATTTTAATAACACTTCAAAAATGCGACGATACTTCTAGATGGACACACCAACTTGCAACTGTACAATATGTTGAATTTAAACTGTCTATAACTGTAGTTAGGTAGTAAACATAGGAAAAGTTGAGAAATTGTTATCTTCGGCCAACTTCTACATGCCTTGGAGCACAAACACTTTTAAAACCGCTATGGGAAGAAGTATATATTTAAATACATAATATACGGTAAGACAGAAACAGGAATAAATACAGACAGATGCCCAACAAATTCCCCACATGTAATCCCAGTCAAATAACCTCCATACAAGAAACAAGTTATTACTCACGCAAGTATGAGTTTATAAGTTAACAAAACACATAACACAAAATTAAAAGATAGGAAGACAGTTCATACGAAAATAAATAGGACAGAACTGAAGGCCTCCAATGAATTCAGAGTAAATTTTTAAAAAAATCTGTTTGTAGCCTTTTATCAGAAGGTCCAAACCACCACCATGATAAATGTTGCATGATAGCGATTCGCGGAGCACAACGAGCAAACCATCTTTAAGGAAAAGATAGGTATAATTTACTGGTAAAGTTAATTTTCCGTTACTTATGATCTTTGATGAAATCAAACAAAGATAACAGGATTTAACACAAAGATTTCTGTGAAGATAAAACCTAATGAGTCACTTGATAGATAGCAGTCTCAAGTAGTGTTTAGAGTGTTGAGATGTGGAAACCGATATTAATGGACCAGTAAGATATTGTCGTGAATAACAAATAAAAAACAGTGAATCCGGTGTTTGGAACTCTGCTAAAAAGGAAAACTACAGAATGGAGGGTGTCAACACAACTACTGAATATAAACCTTCATAAGGGAACTGAAACTCCCACGTCATCGAAAGTAACTCCCACTTATTCAAGAAACCAATTACTTTTGTCCTGATCACCGGAAAAAAAATTAAATTCTGATATTTGTGTGGATATGATTCATTAGTTTAAGCACTCGACTTGCAGTCAGTGGGTTTTAGGCTAGAATTTCACTCCGCTTGCTTCGGCCTGAGAAACTGGATAGCATCATTAGCCGTGACACAGTAAGTGTGATTCATAGCCCGGTACTTGGTAATTAAGTTCTAACTACTTGCAAGCTTACATTCACATACATTAGTAGATTTAAGATTCTATTTTATAATTAATAATTTATCCTAAATTTACAACCCCTTATGCAGTTTTTGAGGACTACTGCGTGGAGTGGGGTTGGAAATTTTACACAAATAAGGTGGTTTTCCATAACTGTTGTGCTGTGCACATCAGTTATAAGAAGGCAAGATGAACAAACGCTTAACTCAACACTAAAGTATGAATTTGTGTGCGACACAGTGACAAGGATAGGAAATATATCGACTGGTCACCGAATTCTATCCTTTGGCACCAACATTAATGGCTAGACTCATGACACTGATTACTCCTTAATGTGCAATCACTTTGTCCATTTTAGTTCTGCAGGAAATTAGTAATGAGCCTGAATAACTCAGTAGTAACGTCTTCGGTTGCACCACTGGGTGACATGGGTTTGAATCTGCAAGTTATCAGTTCCTTCGAAATCACAGATACGTCTTCCTGAAAAGAACGACTATTGGGTTCAGAACTTCCTGACAATTATCTCCATCTACTGAACTTGAATCACTGAGAAAAATGAGTAGTGATAAACGCTTGCGAATTCATGCTACTGGTCATCACTTCAGTGAAGTTACGAAAACTGATATTGGTAGTCTTAGCACTTCTAGTCTCTTTGGTGTAAGCCGTTTAATTTGTCTACAACTTCTAAAAAGTAGGTAGACGGAGACTTTCAGTGAGGTCGATCCAAATAAATAAAAGTTAAGTGAAGATATACTACCCCGACACCCAAAGTTATCTTCATTTTCAAGTGTTGCTTTGTAGGGATTTCAATGACTTTAAGCTAGTTCACAACATTAACCAGAGAACCAATGAAAATCAGAAATTAGTGGACAGTTGCGTCATCCTAAATTGAAACTCTTCTGCAGCACTCACCAATGACCGCACTGGAGGTCGAACCAAAGACCTTCAGTTGAGATGGTGAGCTCGTGTGATCGGTGATTATCTATCCTCGTCACCGATCCCGACTCCTCCATTGACCTCCATTCGGTAGTGATTCACCAGTGAGTTGATTAATTTTCAAGTGTTGGTTTATACGGACTTGACTGACTTAAAGTTAGTTCCTTTACCTAATTTCTTCTTTGATATTCCAAATTTATAAGATATATATACATATGAATAGCTGGGAATTTACATATGTTACTGGGAGATACACTACTCGGTGTAATGCAAGTCGAAAATATCACCTTGTTGAAAAAGAAAATACAGGTTACTGAAGTCCGATCAAATCAATCACGGAAACATCTTTGCAACCAATATCTGTCGTTGCACTATAGAATGACATTTACAAAAATAATGAAAACCTACGTCTGCACTCAACTATACACCTTAGGAAATAATTCTAAGGGTTATTTACTTGTTTAAATTTTCATAGTATGATAAATAATAATTGTCATCATGTGTTGAGAGCCAAAGCAATGTATACGAGTCTTCATCAACATCTTTGACATTGCAACACTAATAATGTTGTTTACCAGTTACTTACGTTACATTTTAGATGTCACTACTTTAATAAGTTTGTGTTCAAAACAGGCTAAAAAGAATTATAGTTTTGTGTATCACAATCTGCCTTAAACAGTTAAATGGAACAACACAAGTCTGTATTGAGGAATTCACTTAAATAAAAGATGTAAAACTACGTTTTCCAGATGTTTGTAGTAAACACAATCATATATTACACTAGTTATTCTACTTAAAAATAGTTTACGCGTGAATTAAAAAATCGCTAAACATTACGTAAACATTCACTTATTGCTCATTTAAGAACCAAACCTAATTCGAAATGGTTTCCATTCACGTACGAATTCAGTCTAACTAGCAAATACCACAGTATAGTCTTCAAGCTGAAAAAGTGAGGAAGGAATTTAAACATAAGCATAAATAACGGTTTATTGAAAAATAACTACACCCAATATTTTATAGTTATGGAAGGCAAAGTTTAACAATTTATTAGGTAACAAAAGTAACAGTTTTAAAATGAAAGTAACAAAAAATAAATATTATTTTCATAGATAATTCATCCATCATAACTAAAAAAATGTACATGTTAAAAGAAAAGTGAAAAATATTATTAAATTCTTTGGGTGCAGCAAAATACTTGTTACCATTTGGAAGACTGAAATAAATTCGAATTAAGAAAAAAGTTATATATTGGAAAGCATCTCATGCCAAACAATAATTGTGTAGTCCAAAAATAAGATTTCATTCGCTTTCAGTTCGATCTATTCTGAAAGAGTAACTGGAGAACGAGAATGGCCGTCACTCGCCAGTGGATTCTGAAAAATAAAAAGACATAAAGGTAGAAATATTACACTAATTATTTACAAACAAAAGTAGAAACTGTGTTGCAATTCAAGCATATGAACGATATCCTCACAGAAAGCTTCCTAAGATTATAATATTATTATTCCCTTGCGTCTGAGTGGAACATAGGGCTTAAAGACATTTGTGCTTAAAATCATGTCTGAAATCTTTTTTTATTCCTGTACGTTCCCAGTGGAACATAGGGCTTCAAGCTAGAGGCTTGCAGTTTCAGTAGCAGTGGTGTTTATTTTTACGGGATGGGGTTGCTAGCCTCATGCCCAAGCTTCCCTCTTTACCAGTCTTATTACTGGCTTATCGAGGTGAGGGAGTGCGTCGACCGAGGGTCGAACCCCGAACTACCTGCGTGGATGGCGAGAATTCTGCTGCTGTGCCACCGACGCACCTGTCTGAAATCTACAGCCACAAAAATTAGACACTACATCTAAATAGTCCTAATGAGCTCATATAAATAAACGAATCATAACAGAAAAATTTTATAAAGTGAGATTTTATTAACATATAAATAATTACAAAGTCCCCTATCTATCTGTCTTTTAACAAGTAAACTAATAAGCAGCTTTTTAAACAAATGAAAAAGAGAGGGCAAACTAAACACTCCGTGTAATTACTTCAACTGTGAAGACGTTGATTATCCCAGGTGTACATTAGGGAAAGTATTGGAATTCAAAACCCTTATTTTATACAGAGAAAATAAGCAATTATAATCAAACTGTTAAGTTAAAAGAGATAGACATATACGAATCAGTGGTTTTCCTGAAAAGCTAATGTAAACGATATCCAAGAAGTGAAGTATCCAAGAATGGAAATGAAATCAATGAATGCTATGAAAAAAATCTCTTACACATCATTTATTATACGGACGACATCAGAATTAAGATGGTGGTTAACACCCCTAGAAGAGGGAATAATGAAATAAGTCCAGGCAAAACCCAAGTTTTAATATCGTAGCATCACATCTTTTTCTTGAAATCCACCACATTTAAAACTCGAAACTAATAACTTCAGTATTATCGTCAAGCAACTTTTCAGTTCAGCAGAAATGCTGTTTTAATCTACTAGGCGATATCAGATGAATTGTAAGAAAAAATAAAAGCGGCATCACTATATGTGGTAAAAAGCTGTAAAATAACAAGCTGTAAATATCCAAAGATGATGGTGTTTCGCGTTAGTAATCTTAACTACAGCTTCTCCAAAACCCTAGTAGCCTAAAATAATGTGTCACGTTTGGGGTTTTAATACTGCTAGTATGACCATGAAGAGACAGACTATACGGCGTCATCGTGTGGTAAATTTTTACCCAAAGACTCTGAGACGTAACATGTTTTAGTTACATACATTCGATCAGCTTGTATCTGGTAACAGTAATATGAAGAGTCATGGAACTTAGGAAGGTACGCTTGGGAATAAAACACGCTGGGAGTCTATAGGCGATGTCATCATGCAACTATAGAATTATAGAACACAAAAGACCCGAGTGTTATGAGGTGAATCTCATTATCGTAAATATAAGCTATCGTGTAGCAGCTTTATTCTCATGCCAACTGTCAGAGCATACGAAATGAAAGGGATTTGTACCTGTCTGTCTTTGTTCTTACATTATGCAAAAATTATCCCGATGACTATGTTGTAATACGTGATCTGAAAACGTACAGAAAAGTATATTAGCTGCAGAACAATTAGAGTTAAGAGCGTTCCTTAGGTTAACAAAATCCATGATATATCACCTTCGGATATGCCTAAAAATGTAAACTGAAGGAAATTAGACACAATACAAAACCAAAGAGTCCACATGAAAGAGATAAAGGGTGTTATTCAACTAAGAAACAATAATTGCTACATAAAAATTTGGCATGCATGAAACTATTTACAACTTCAAGAATAAGTTACCTGAAGAATGGCAACATGTGGATCATCCATATCACCCAAACTAATGACGTCTTGTTTTGATGACAATGAGTTCTCGATAATGTAATAGTACTTTGGTGATGAAATACCAAGACCCCAAGCTAGTTTCTCTCCAAACCAATCAATGAATCGCAACAGAGCGTTATTAAGGCTAACCTGTGAAAAGAATTAGCGTATTATTAAAATCAACAAATCATTACGGATGTTTCCAAAAACCTTCAACTTCGTGTCAAAATTCAACAAATATTTGATGAGGAGACTCAAAACTTGTCTAGAATTCATCACACACGACAATAATACAAAACTAAACAAAAACACTCACTACATGAATAAATCAAAATCCTCCTAAGAACGCAATTGTGATGCATCCCAAGAAAAGTGTAAAAATTCACCATACCAACATATATGTATATTTCAATAAGTGACTCATAGAGAGCCAATTTACGATTTTATTATTATTATTATTGTATCCTTTAATTTCTAGAGGAACATAGGGCTTCAGCCGTGCGTCTCCATTGCGTTCGGTTCTCTGCTAGAGTCTTCACCTGGATCCATGTCTGCCCACACGTTTTCATCTCCTCTTCACATGACCTCCTCCAAGTCACCCTTGGACGACCAACTCACCGCTTCCCTTTCGGGTTCCACTCGAGGGCTTGCTACAGAAACTTCAGTACGATTTTATTAGTCAATAGTAAACTAAGATACCTTTCAATACCCTAGTACTCCTGTTTATTTTTATGCCATTTTCATTCAAAACAGCTGCACTTTTCGCAAAGTCCCACATAACTTAGCTAACAAAAAGGTTTTGTGACAATTTAATGCGCACACACGTGCCATACAGAGTCTGTTTCCAAATACTTCTTCCACAAGCAACTTCAATTACTTACACTACTACTAATGTAACTGCAAAGTTCCTGTTACATTGGTTACAACAAAAATTGAAAATTAAGGTAATTTCATATATTTATAACTAATATATTGTTCCAAACGTCACTGAATAAATGATAGTATAGCAGTCTGTGTCATGCTAAATAAGCACACAAGGGACTAACTGAAAATCCAAACAAATGAAAAGAACTCACTATGTTTGAGCTCTCTTGGCTGTCCTCATCGCTGAATTCCACGATGCCATCACTGAAATGTAAGGACTGTGACGACTTGCCACTGACTGACTGTTGGTCATCCATGAACAGAGACAGTATTTAGGAATAGAGGAACGATGGTACTGACACAAGGGTATGAAACTTCTCCAATCTTCGGTGAAACTCACTGGGCTGCGATTTAAAAAAAAATTAGAAACAGAACTCATCAATTGGAAACTTTTGAGGAATATTAAATTGTCTTTAGTCATGAGGGTTTTAATGCACTAATTATAGGAAGTATTAGGAAGATAAATATGTTGAGTCCGAAATTATTTCTGGCAAAATAAGTATTTATTTCCATATAAATTTTATGCGTTGCGTTCTACAATTTTTTCAAACTTCCCTGGACTGCAGAGAACAGTAAAACTTTGCCTTTGTAATATACGTCCTAGAGTGACTACCAGAAACTAGAAATTAAGTCATTTATGAACTCTGCAGACAATAATAGGCGTTAGATGAAGACAAACTCCTACGATGGAAAACTTTAATTTTTTTAAAAAGAGGAGTGCAAAATCGTGATTGAATAAGTGTGACGAGAAGTAAGATCACACCTTATGCCAATAAGAAAGACAGTTTTCCTTGCTCAGGACCACAAGTGTACGTCGGTGGCACAGTGGTTAGGACTCTCGCCGACCATGCACATGGTCCGGGGTCCGATCCCCTGCCGGCGCACACCCGATATCTATGGTCAGCCTGAATTTGGGCTACCGATATCCATGCTGAAAATTCCACACTTGTACTGAAAATACGGTGTGGAATCAAGCTGTAAATCAAAATAAATAATATGTATGAATAATGCTAAAACAGTTAGTTCCTTTGATAGTATCATACGAACAATGTTTGTATGAACTACTTTGCAGAACAATCACGAGATTCGACGGAAAGAAGTCAACACGGCTTAGAATAAAAACAATTTTGTAAATCTATACATAAAGTATTTTGTACATATTTCAGAAAACTCCTATTGCTAAACTAGATGTAGGCTTTAGGAAAATGAACAGGAATTCAATACACTTGGCTGTTAAACAATTAACAGAATGACAAACTCCAAAATCAAAGCCGTACTGATAACAAAA